TATCATACTATATTGGGATAGAAGCAATCCACAGGGTCTCATCTTCTGCGAAAACAAAAGAACCTCTTTTCCAAAGCATCATATCCTTAGACCCAAATTCTGAAGTCAAGATAGCTTTATAATACACATGTTGGATTAGCATAGCAGACCACACAATGAAATGTCTCTCTGTACTTAGCTCCTTTACAGCCAAAAATTTTAAAGAAAACACAATAATATACAGAATCCAGGCTGTCTGTGAATTTTCCATTTTTACGTGGCTTATTTTTCTTTATTTCTTTTAATCTATAACTATATGTACTTTGTCTCTCTAAAGACTTTACCTTTTTTTTTTTGTTTTGTTTTGTTTTTTCGAGACAGGGTTTCTCTGTGGTTTTGGAGCCTGTCCTGGAACTAGCTCTTGTAGACCAGACTGGTCTCGAACTCACAGAGATCCGCCTGCCTCTGCCTCCCGAGTGCTGGGATTAAAGGCGTGCGCCACCACCGCCCGGCTAAGACTTTACCTTTTTTAAGGCATTAACTTTATTCTCTATATTCTTTTTCTTCTCTCTCCCAAGCCTATGTATGTCTAACACTATGACCCATTTAGAGGTCTTTTATGTCTGAATCTGTCCTATTGCATTGTCTGTAATTCTTTACTGTTCAGGAACATTTTTGCTTTGTGCTTTTAAATTGCTAAGCACTTAAGAATCTAAGCTGTGACATTCCTAGGTCAAAAAACAGGTACTGTGGACTTGCCCCGCCCAGTCCAACATGGCGGAGCTCCTCGTGCCTCTGAGCCTTGCGCATTGCACCACTAGCATGGCAGAGCTGCTTGTGCCTCTGAGCCATGGAGCGGCGGGCTGTTCTTGATGTTGGCTCCACCTCTCTCCAATTTCAAAGTGATAGACGTACCATTTCTGCTAGCTCTGGAGCCACCAGGTAGGAGCCACACTCAGCACTTTAACTCTGAGACTGAGCGTGCTGCACATAAACTCTTCCTTTTAGAGTTACAGCCAAATCTACCATGCAGAGCACTTCACAGCCTGGAAACATCTCTCTGTATGGCAGCAGAAATCTGCCATGCTCTCCCGCCTGCCTAAGCCTGATCCCACTGTATGCTCAGGCAGGGAGCACAGCCATTGTCTCAGAGTACTTTCTTCCCAATTCTGAGCAGGAACACAAACATCCAGTCCCATAAAAGCCATTGAAATGCTTTATAGCCGAGTTAGCGCTGGTGGCACATCCCAGGAAACTGTGTTTTAAAACTGTGCAGCTTTTTTCCTGCTACAGCTGCTGAGTCAGGGAAATTTCTCTGCGGCACCCTGGCCAGCAAACATCAAAAAACTGTGTTAAACTCTATATTTGTGTCTAGAATTCCTTTTTAAGCCCTCTTAGGTTTTACATGGAGTTAGTTACCACTCTGTTGTAAAAGGAGTGGCGGGTCGCATCCCACCACCCAGCTCCCAGCTGCCTGGATAGCTTATACCCCAAAATAACAACAGACAAATTATATTCATTTAAACACTGCCTGGCCCATTATTTCTAGCCTCATATTGGCTAACTCTCACATCTTAATTAACCCATTTCTATTACTGTGTATTGCCACCTGACTGTGGCTTACCGGCATAAGTCTAACCAGCGTCCGTCTTGGAGAGGAGAGCCATGGTGTCTGCCACACTGCCTTCTTCCTCCCAGAATTCTGTTCTGTCTGCCCCGCCTACCTATGTTCTGACCTATCAGGCCATTTTCTTTATTAATTAACCAGTGAAAGCAACAGATAGAGAGAAGACCCTCTTACACCACCACCCCCTCTCCCTTTCTCCCTCTCTCTTTCTCCTACCTCTTTCTTCCCATTGTTGAAAGGAATGTTCATTATATATGAGGTAGAGATGTGCTTCTTTGAGCTGAGAGGTGACTCAGGGTAAGTATGCTTGCTGATACTGGATCCCAGCTCCCATACTGAAAAAGGGAATGGAGGGTGGGAGGAGGGAAAGAAAGAATGGAGGAAGGAAGTTAGGGAGGGAGGGAGGACGAAAGGAAGGAAAGAGGTGTGGGCTTATGAGATGTCTAAATGTTAAATAGCATTTTGTGCTCATCCAAAGGACCTGAGTTCAGTTTCTAGCACCCATGGGCAATTCACAACCACCTGTTATTCTGAGTCTAGAGGATTCAACACTTTCTTCTAGTGTTGTATACACAGGCAAGTATATACATGTGATATAAACTCACATAAACACATAAAGTTTAAAAAGTCATACACAAATTCTTAAAATCGTTTTTAAAAAGAGATTTTAAAAAGCTGGGCGTGGTGGGGCACACCTTTAGTATCAGCACTCCAAGAGGCAGAGGCGGTGGCTCTCTGAGTTTGAGACCACAGCGAAGCCCTGGCTCAGAAAGCAAGAGTGTGGAGGGAGCCAAGCATAGCTATGCTGTTTAGTGAGAGACCCCATCTCAAAGGAATAAACAGGATACCCAACATACTCCTCTAGTCTCCATGTATGTAGGTATAAAGGCCTGTACAGACATGCATGTACATATACTAATAATAAATAATAAAAATAAAAGGAAAAGATGCGATTCTTCTTTTAAAAAAATCTAAACAGTTGGTTTTTTTTTTCTTAAAGATTTATATTTGTGAGTGTTTTGCATTCATGTGCTTGAAGCACCACATACATGCAGTGCCTGTGGAGGCCAAAAGAGGGCTTGGGATCCTCTGGCAAAAAACTCATCAGTGATTCAGATAAATGAGATAAAGAGTCTATCTAAGTGGACAGTTTGGAGAGCTTTGACACCTATGTTAACATACCCTTTAACCCACTGCTACTAGAGAGACACATTTCTGACTAGAAAGAAGTGTGGACCCTGGTCATAGCTGTTCTCGATTCTCCAAGTTTGGGTCCCCTTCTCCAGTTCTCCATCTATGATGCTTGATGCATGGCCAGTACTACAGAGCCACCTACCAAGTAGAAGAAGCATTGATGGTCTAGCCTTCGAGTGCTTTAGTTATAGCTGAGTAGCCAGATGAGTACAGGAATACTAGGTTCATGTGTAAGCTCATCAAGCAGGAATGTGTAACTTTGACTATGATCCCACCCCTCCAACAAGAATTCAGGCCAAGTCAAAATGCCTATTGCATTGGATATGAAGGTTGGCAGGTGAATGAATAGGTGGGACTCACCCTGTGCTTTTGAGAACTCTTGTCCTTAGCTGACTATTCACAGGCTCCCTATAGCCAGTAGGAGACAAATATTAATGTAAGCCAGGCCCTGGGAGGTATCAGGGACTGTCAGTGGTAGGTAACAGAATACTTTCTTCAGTGAGTTAAGCTCGTGCCTAGACTAAGGATAGGATAAATTAAGCAGGTGGGGTGAAAGCCTGAAAGATTCTACAAACTATTAGAGCAGTTTCTTCTGCTTTCACTCTGCATCCAACCTTGCATTGTGGGGTTCCCAGAAGCCTGTTTTGGGTAAACTTACTAAGATCCACTGTTGTAGGAAGAGCAGTAATATGCCTGAGGCAGCAGTGGAGGTTCTTTATGGGCAGCCAGTTGGGTGCCCTCCATACCCAGGTATAGGTGACTGCATGAACCCAGGACAGCAGAGAGGCCCTGCTGTTTATTCCTCTGCCACCAGCCTAGAAGACATTCTTTGTGAGAGCAGCACTCTCCCAGCCTCTGCTGAGTGCTGGGGAGGCAGCAGGCTCTTTGGAAGGCAGACAATAGTTTGGTGCCAGCAGAGGGAGCTCTAGATTGCCATGAGAGTGGCTGTACTTATAAGGTCTACAGAGGTTCCTACTGCACATAGTCTCTTACCAAGCAATATCTTTCTGGGAAACACCAAAGTCCCTGTTTGGACTTTCTCCTGTCTTGCAGCTCTGTATTGAGGTGAAACAGCTAGATGTCTGAGTGTCACTGTTTTCCATGTACCCCACTCCTCCCTGTATACTTCATTTTCTAGTTGTGGTAACTGTAGATGGAACCACACTTTGAGTGTTAGAAACTCAAACAGTGAATCCTCTTTCCTACCCTAATCTCTGCTTTTTTTAGACAAGGAAATTAAAGCACTGTTCAGTATGATGAGCAGGGCCTTATGTGAGGTTGGAAATCTAGTTAACACTTCAGTAGGTATTTATCTTACGCAGTGTTCTATTGCCGTGAAGAAAAGCATTTAATTGGGGCTTGCTTACAGTTTCAGAGATTTAGTCCACTATCATGGCTGGGAGCATGGTGACACACAGGCAGAAATGGTGCTAGAGAAGTAGCTGAGAGTTCTGTGTCCAGAAGAAGACAGCCACTAGGCCTGGCTTGGGCATTTGAAAACCTCAAAGCCCATTCCCAATGACACACTTCCTCCAACAAGGCCACACCTCCTAATCCATTCAAATCTATTAGCCTCTAGGGCCATTCTCATTCAAACCACTACACAGTTAAAACTGTTTTCAGAATCCTAGTCTATAGCTCTTAGGCACAACGGGGCTTAGTCCTGATGATGTGTGGAACCGGATATTCCAGACCAGGATATCACAGGGACCGAGGGACCATTGGCCTTGGTGGGAACCCAACAGAGCCAAAGGAGCAGGTCTACACAGAACATCCAAGGGCCTTTGGACTTTATCTACTGGATGCTTTGCCTCTTGACTCCCATAGCTCCAGTGGCCTAAAGTGTATTAAGCAAAGATACCTTGCCTCTTCCACAGCCTATGGTCCTCTCTGAATTCTTAGTAGTAAGTACAACAGGCCTTGCTGACCATAGGTCAGTGTCTGGGTAGAATGATGATGCTTTCCTCAATCCCCTCCCCAAATGAAGCAATGCATGGGAGTTTGTGCTATGAGAGACAAGATAGAGAGGGAGAGAGAGGCTCCTGCTTTCTCTGCATTGCTGCCCAGATGAGCCATTGCTTGTGTTAGTGAGCACATATACTCAGAACATTCAGAGATGCAGGGTATTCCAGTTCATTTAACAAGAAGCCTTATATTTCAGAAAAGAAGTGAGTGATGCATCCCTTTGCTTTTCCTACAGTGGGACCTGGTGTGTAACGATGACTGGAAAGCCCCTCTCACCACCTCCTTGTTTTTCATGGGTGTGCTCTTAGGCTCCTTCATTTCGGGACAGCTCTCAGACAGGTAAGGTGTCTGGTACTGATCAAGGAGTATGTTCCTCTCCTTAACTTCAGCTGATGGTGTTCTCTTAGACCATAGCCATTCGTTTCAGAAGCAGCAGCATCTATGTCTAGTATGGACTTCCAACAACTTCCAAATGGACCAACAATCTCACATAATTTCCCAGTTCTTGTTGAGCAGAGAAACCTGAGCTAGCCAAGCCATGTGTACCCATAGTCCAATGACCAGTTGCCTTGCCATGATTCACTTCTATATACGTGTGGCCTCCTTTCCCTGGGAGATTATAGCACTCTCGTATGAGAAAAAAAAGAAAGAGAGGTTGACGCTATCATGTGTGGATGTGCTGTATTGTAGAGCACTAGGCAATACCATGGTGCCCACCTCTGTATTCTAAAGATAGGATTTTTTTTCTCCCTAAGCAAGGTAAGAGAAAATCGAGATCTCACTGGTCAGTTGGTGGTGTGAGGAGCAGAACTCTGGTGTCCCTTAGCTAAGTGGCCTGTTGTAGAAATAAGAGTGGCGGCGGGGCTGCGTCCCCAACACCCCAGCCGCCTGCCCGGCTAGCTTATGCCCCGAAATAATTACACGGACACTGTATTCTTTTAAACACCGCTTGGCCCATTTCTATCTAACCTCTTCTAGGCTAATTCTCACATATTAATTTAGCCCATTTCTAATCATCTGTGTTGCACCCCTAGGTGCGCTTACCGGGAAGATTCTAGCCTATGTCCATCCTGGGTCGGAGCTTCTTAGCGTGCGTCTGCCCAGGAGCCAGGAGCATGGCGTCTCTCTCAGGCGTCTGCTCCTGAGAGGAAAGCGGTCGAGTCTCTGAGCTCACTTCCTCTTCCTCCCAGCATTTTGTTCTGTTTACTCCTCCCACCTATCCTCTAACCAATAAAATGGGCCAGGGCAGTGCCTTTATTAGCCAATGACCTTCCTCCATCATTTCCCCTTTTTCGGTTTAAACAAAAAAAAAAAGGGCTTTAACATAGCAAAATTACATATAACAAAACAGTTATCAAGTAAAAGTTACAATAATCTTTATCATAACTAAGGAAAACTATAACTAACTAGTCTTAACTCCATCAAAGACTCCAGAAAGATACAATACTACCTAAGCAAACAAGAAAAAAGCAACTTTTAAAACTCTAGAAATGACAGAGACATCTCGCTGCCTGGACAGTCACCCAAAGTTCCTCTGTACCGTTGGGGCATCCATCTTCAGCCTTCAGGCCCATGGTATCCAGCAGACATTTCCATAAAGCAGGAAAATTCAAAGTCAGTTCAGTCACTATCTGCTGTGTCCTGCAGAATGTCTTGCAGACTCTTTCAGGAATCAGGAACCCCGAAAGATCATCTCACCTTAGGCAAGTTCAGTAGTCCTCTCTCTGTGGGTTCTCTGTGTCCAGTTTATGCAATAGTCCAGGCAAGAGCAGTTTCTTGCCCAAATGGCTATCAAATTCCATAAGGTGCCTCTTCGATGCCCATCTTCCTCTTGAAGTACATTGGTGCTGCCAGGAGCAGAGTGTCTCATTGTCATGAAAAGTCCTCAGTTATTAAAACATTAAATGTCCTATTCTGTAATATTTGAAAGACATGAAGAATGTCTATGTAAAATATATCTCTATATATCTAGAAAATCTAATTAACATGACTACAAACTTTACTATTATCGATGATTATCCATCAACAACCTATACTTCTCAATTATACAATACATATTTAAATGAACTACACTATCACAATACCTTAATCAAAATCAGAAGCACTTATACATATAACAAAATTGACCTTAAATCTCTATCAATAAAGCAAAATCTATACTAATGCAAATTATTCATACCTATATCATATCCCCCTTTAAATGTTAAAGAACGTTTATAAACCATATTTGGGAACATGGGCGCACTTTTTTCTCTCCAAACTGCTTCCTGCTGAATGGGGGCGTCGTTACTTAGGTCTTTCATGGTATAACCTGTGTGCTAGTTTCATCTCAGTTGGCAGTTGAGCAAAGCAATTTTCTGAAGATGTTCACTGCGACCCTTCAGGAGGGCATGGTCCATCATACCAAATCGGAATAGAAGAAATGAACAGCGTCTCATCCTCTGTGAAAAGAAAATAAGAAACTCCTTTCCAAAGTATCATATCCTTAGATCCAAATTCAAAATATCTATGTTGGATTAGTTCAGAAGCATTTATAAACAAATATCTTTTAGTAGCTTTTGCTCTTTCCTCAGCATTCAAACAATTCAAAGAGAGCACAATAGCATACAGTATCAAAATTCTCTGTGTATTTTCCATCTTTGTGCAGCTTTGTTTTAACCTCTATTTTGTTTATTTTTACTTTTAACTCTTTGCTTTTTGAGACAGGTTCTCTGTATCTTTGACCTGAAGTAACTCTGTAAACCAGGCTGTCTTTGAACTCTCAGAGATCCGCCTGTCTCTGCCTCCCAGGCATTGGGATTAAAGGTGTAAGCTACTACACCTTGAACTCACAGAGATCTGTTTGCCTCTGCCTTCTAGGCACTGGGATTAAAGGCGTGTGCTACCACACACAACAACTCTCTTCCTTTTTTTTTTTTTGTTACTTTAAGAACTTTAAATTTTAGTCTGCATATATTTTTAACACACTTCAAACCATTTAGAAATTTTCTCTGTCTTTGAATCTCTCTTTACTATATATCTCTCTTTTTCTGACCACATGAATCTTTAATTTACCAAGCAATCTCAGTAGGACTAAAGGCATGGCTTTGCCAGCTATATCCAGTCCATTCCTTAGCTTTCCAGCCTCATGGCTGAGGTACTGGCTGTAGCCAGCAAGCGAGCTTCAGCAGCCTGTGCTTGCAAACCGCACAAACCGCCTGCGTAAAAGAGTCAGAGTTTGCCCTGGCAGGATGGCCCAGAAAGCTGGCATTTTTAAACGGCGCAGCTTTTTTCCTGCTACGACTGAAAACCAAAAAGCATTTTCGTCAACACCATTTAAGTGTTTCGTGGCAGGACCTCTTAATGAGCTGCAGGCTTTGCAGCTAAAGCTGAGTCAGGAAGCCTCTCTTAGATGAAAGCGCATGCTTGCCTCTAGCAAGCAGAGTAGAACCGAGAAATTGCTGCTACCAAGAAACCAGGCACAATGCTTTCATTTTTTTCTAGAATTACTTCCCAAGCTGTCTCAGGCTTTATGTGGAAGCAGTTGTCCACGTGGGCGCCATATGTAGTAATATGAGCGGCAGGGCTGCGTCCCCAACACCCCAGCCGCCTGCCCGGCTAGCTTATGCCCCGAAATAATTACACGGACACTGTATTCTTTTAAACACCGCTTGGCCCATTTCTATCTAACCTCTTCTAGGCTAATTCTCACATATTAATTTAGCCCATTTCTAATCATCTGTGTTGCACCCCTAGGTGCGCTTACCGGGAAGATTCTAGCCTATGTCCATCCTGGGTCGGAGCTTCTTAGCGTGCGTCTGCCCAGGAGCCAGGAGCATGGCGTCTCTCTCAGGCGTCTGCTCCTGAGAGGAAAGCGGTCGAGTCTCTGAGCTCACTTCCTCTTCCTCCCAGCATTTTGTTCTGTTTACTCCTCCCACCTATCCTCTAACCAATAAAATGGGCCAGGGCAGTGCCTTTATTAGCCAAAAATGACCTTCCTCCATCAGCCTGTGGTTATGGCACTTACTATATGACCAGGATAATGATTGTTATTTGTACAATTTCAAAGATTTTATCTAAGTTACATTAACGACTATCAGACATGCATTTTAAAAAAGAATTTGACAGTCTAGTATTGATGGAAGGAAAATAAGAGAGACCTTTTTTCTTACACGCACACACACACACAACCTCTCTCTCTCCTTTTAGTTTTTGGTGTTTGGTTTTTTCAATACAGGGTTTCTCTGCTGGACAGCACTGGTTATCTGGAACTCCCTTTGTAGAGCAGGCTAGCCTTGAATTCACAGAGATCTATCTGACTCTGCCTCCTGTGTCCTGGGATTAAAAACGTACACTGCCACATCCAGTTTATAAGAGAGAACTTAACGGAATCAATTAAAACATTTTCAGTGCTTCTTTCAGAAAATGATAGGAGCTGAGCATAGGACCAAGGCTGGAGAGATGAGACTGAAATCAGGAAGACTTGCTGACTGGTCACATGTGGGGAGTGCGGACAGAAAAGGCCTCTGGCCTTCATAGCTAAGACAAAGAACCACATTTGCAGGGGAGACATTCGATACAATAGGAAGGTATTGAATTTGGGGTGATTACAAGACCTCTAATTGGAGAGATTCATTGTGTTGTTGGATGTATAGCTACTCCATGAGAGGTTCCTGTAGGTGTAATGGCAGAAAAGGGGCAGGAGCAGGCTGAGAGGTTCCTCAGGTAGAAGTGAGGAATTTAAGGGTAGAATGACCACTGAATCTCAAAGGAATTGATTTGATGTCAAAATCAAGGAAGACGTGCCCAAGCTAAGCGTAGAAACCATGCCAGTTGTGTGCTAGGTTACATAGATCTTTATGAGCCATCTTAAGAACCTGTTTGCCATGCATGGAACATTATGATCACCTGAGGAAAGGGAGAGTCCCACACTAAAGGGTTTGCTCCCAAAGAAACAATGGAAACAAAATTCATGATCATGCTAGGCATCACCTTTCCTACAGAGGGGAGATGGAGTGTGTTGGAGACCTTCTCTGAAATTTTTGAGGCAGGGAGCTAGGGATGTAGCCCAGTTAGTGCAGTGTTTGACTAGCATGCATGAAACCCTAGGTTTGATCTACACACCGAATAAACCAGGTGTGATGGTGCACCCCTGTAACCCCAGCACTTAGAAGACGGAGGCAGGAGGATTACGAGTTTAAAGTCATGCTCAGTTACATAGTGACTTACAGGCCAGCCTGGGATACATGACATGACACCCCTCTCTGAGTGTGTGAGTGTGTGTGTGTGTGTGTGTGTGTGTGTGTGTGTGTTGGCTTTTGCACCTGAAATCTCTTTTAAGCAAGCTTGCTCAGCCTGGA